CTGCCTATTCCTGCATTTCCTAGTGATTCCGGATATGCAGAAATTCCCGAATGCGCAGAAATTCCGGAATTCCGCTTTGTCTTTCTTCAAGCTCGATAAATGATTACTTAGCCATCCATGAGATATTTGCAATTCCGGAATATGCAGGAATGAGCAGGAATTCCTGCATTTCCTAGTGATTCGGGATGTGCAGAAATTCCCGATGTGCAGAAATTCCGGAATTCCGCTTTGTATTTCTTGAAGCTCGATAAATGATCACTTAGCCATTTATGAGATACTTGTAATTCCGGAATATGCAGGAATGAGCAGGAATTGCATAAAATTCGATGGCATGGGTAGGAATTGGAATGCAGGAATTCCGGGATTGAATGATGATGAGTTTGATGGCCTTATGCGATGCAGGAATGTGTAACTTTGGGGAATAGGATGACTGCTCCTTTTTACACTTAAAAACGTTGTTTTTTTGTTGCTTGTCTGACTGGGTTGACGACAAATACTTGGCACTTGTATTTGTACTTAATTACGAAAAAACGATACTTTGTACTTATATTCAAGATATGCATGAAATAGATTGTATAAGTAAGAAAAAGTGGCTCTAATAATCTTTTAAATTCTACTGTGATATTAATTTTGAAGAAGCAATAGTGTTTATATAGTTTTGTATGAATAATTTTATTTTTCTAATATAATGGGCATTTTCGATCCTAGGCGATCATTTTCAGCCAATTACCAGGACATTATACAAGATGTTATAGACAAAACAAAAACAAAAAATAAAATGAAATACAATTAGAAATAATAATAATGATAGTAAACTGAACAATATGAACATAATAATAATTAATTAACAGCATTAACATTTAACATCACTACCATTGACATCAGTACCTGATGTTACCTCTTATTCGAATTGTGATGGAAGAATAGCAATAACAATTTAAATCCAATTCCTGCATACCTATGTTTAAATTATTCAAGTATGTAAAATACTACTTTTGTATAATAATGTATGAGAATTTGAATAAATTTGAGATTTTTATAATTAATTGTTTTTGTTTTGTTTATAACATCTTGTATAATGTCCTGGTAACTGGTTGAAAATGATCGTCTAAGATCGAAAATTTCCATCATGTTAGGAAAATAAAACTATTCATACAAAACTATATAAACACTATTACTTCTTCAAAATTAATTATAAAATTCTTATACGCTATGATATTACCTGATCATAAACTAAAGAACTGTCGGAATATGCTAATAAGAGTTTTTCATCTAATACACTAATATTTTCACTGCAATTCACTTGCAAATATGACTTATTTTCATTGATTGATTTTTCGAAATTGTTATGAAAATCTAAGAATGATTGTACTCATCTAGTCTGACTAAATATAACTTTTCTTATAGATACTTCGAGATGCTCATAACAATTTCGAAAAATCAATCAATGAAAATAAGTCATACTTGCAAGTGAATTGTAGTGAAAATATTAGTGTATTAGATGAAAAGCTCTTATTAGCATATTCTGATAGTTCTTTAGTTTATGATCAGACGATATCATAGTAGACTTTAGAAGATTATTAGAGCTATTTTTTCTTACTTATACAACCTATTTCATACATATTTTGAATATAAGTACAGGGTGTCGTTTTTTCGTAATTAAGTACAAATGCAAAAAATATTCGTGGTGAAGTACAAGTACAAATGACAAGTATCTGTCGTCAACTACAGATGTCAAGCACATCTACGAATACGTGTACTTTTACTTCTTACTTGGAAAAAAATGAAAAGAAAAGACCAAGTACAATTACTTGCATCCTAGCCCTGAGGTAGAAATAATGAGTTTACGGGTAGGTTTGAGGGGACAGCTATAGAATTAAGCGAATAAGAGATGAAGTATAGAATTAAGAGATTAAGGATAGGAATAAATGTTAGGTATAGAATTAAGAATAAGAATATGGAATCAGTACAGAAACACGAGATTGGATAGATAAATGACGGATTACGTATAGAAACAAGGATGTGGAATGTCGTACGAAACCAGAAGCACGAAACCTTTTTTTAAGCTAACAAAAAAGCAGTTGTGTACGAAGCCTTCTTCACACGAAACCAAAAAAGGGTTTCAAATTCGTTGCAAAGTGCAAAACCCTTTTTTAGTTTCGCATAAAACCTTTTTTATTTTCAGTGCAGCGATGTACCCCATTCTAGTCTTAGTAAACCCCATTTCAAAATTAATAGTTGGCAGCCCTGTTTAGATTTCAGTTGCAAGAGCATATCCTGATGCAGAGCATGACAGAATCATGTTTTGAAGTTATTATTTTTCATTTATAAGATAGGGTGCCAAGTTAAAGATCTCGAGAGCTTCTAGGAAAAGGCGTTAAATTTAAATAAACTATTGTGTGTATACAAAAACTAAAGCTCAATGAAAAGTGATCGGTCATGCTGTACATCTTGACAGAGTCTACCTAAAAAAAAATATATATTTCTATAGTGGGCATTAGGAGAGAATTGGAATGCGCAATCGCGTCAGCTTAGGTCAAAATCAATAGAATATTGTTTTCATTTTTTGTGTAAAAGGACATTTCGACAGAAAGATAACAAACATTATGACAAAGGACCTACCAAATGAAAAATGAAATTGTTTTCAAAAAGCGAGACTTCGGACTGCCTTCCTCTCTATGTATTTCTATTTCGAATGTTCTAACGAAGATTGATTTTTTTTTGAAGGGAAGTAAATCTTTAATCTGATATGAGTGATATCACACATTTCTAAAGAAACACGATCTCCATCTGGATAAAGATGCATGAAATTGATTACATAAGGACTAGAAATTCGCTTATCAACTAATTCTTTGGTTAGATGACGAAAATTTTCTAAGTTAGATCATCACTCTTTTAAAGTAATAATCACTTCATGAACCACAGTAAAACTTATAAACATAGTCTTTCATGGAATAGGCACATGAATAGATGTTTAATGGATAGCTAGTACTTTTTTCACAAGATATATCTGTAACGTCATTTGGATATGAGAAAACTCTTTTATATTTTTTCTTGAAGATATTCGTTAAGAAAACGTGTAAACTCAAATTACAGCGATAATGTATCTAAAAGTCAATGGAAGAATGATTGGTTTTCGAACAAGTTATATATGACGTTAAATAGAGCTCGTAACTATTACTTATGTCGGACTCTGTTTTCATCGCAGCGGTATTTCGAAACCCTTTTAATACGAAATTTGTAAGAGGTTTGAACGTCACTTTTCTCAGTTAATGATCCGATAAAAGTTTTATACGAAACTCTTCTATGCTCCAACACTCATAAAGAGTTGTATACTGAACCTTCTTGATCGCCAATGCCTAAATATGGTTTTATACGAAACTTTTTAATTTCGGGAATTTATAAATGTTTCATAAAAAACCATACATATTACTTAGAATATGTTAAACTTACACCAAACCTTAAAGGTTTCGACGTACAATATTTTTTTCAGTGTAGGACATATTAAATAAAATTTCAATCATTTTAATACAAATAATGGCAAGTAGTGTGACTAAAAAGTCCTCACCAAGTGCAGTGGAACAGCGACGCCAATTGCAAAACTATTTTCTTGTTTGGGCGGATGAAAATATTGATGCAAAAAATATAGAATGCGCAAAAACAATTTTACGACTGGAAGAAGTAGTCAAAGAAGTTCACGTATGCACAACCTCGTCTGAATGCATCAAAATTTTGGAAAATATGAAAGATAGAAAAGCTTTCATTGTTGTATCAGGAGTTTTAGGACAGGATTTACTGCCGGCTGTTCATAATACGGCGTCTGTCGATACTATATATGTATTCTGTGGAAACAAAGGTCGATACAAAGGCTGGACGAAAGAATGGTCGAAAATTCGAGACATTTTCACTTCAATAAAACCAATATGTGAATCGTTAGTAGAAGTCTTGAATGAATATGATCACAACTCGATATCAATGAGCACTGTTCCAGCATTAAACGTAGAAGCATCACAATCAGGCGAAGAAAATCTGAAAAAACTACCAGCGACATTTATGTATTCAGTTCTCTTCAAAGAAATTGTATTAGAGATCAAAGATGAGGACACGGAATCAGTTGAAGATCTGATAAATTACTGTCATCAGCAAGGTGTTACAGAGAAAGAATTAAAATATTTTAAAAACGAAAGTGCACACGGAACACCAGTATATATCTATTCATGTGTAAACTTCTTGTACAAAATGCTTAATCAAGCTCTAAGAATTCTCGATACGAAAACAATGAGAAAATTAGCCTTCTTTATCAGAAATCTTCATCATCAATTAGAACAATTACATAATCAACAAAAAGATGTATTCCAACAAGAATTGATCGTATACCGTGGCCAAGGATTAACTGAAGAACAATTGCAGCAGTTGATTTATGCAAAAGGTGGACTACTTTCGTTCAATAACTTTTTATCAACCAGCAAAATACAGGAAGTAGCGATGGATTTTATAAACAAAGCATTGAAAAAGAAATACAACATGGGTGTATTATTTATTATGAAAATTGATCCTAGTAGAGTGTCCACTTCTAGTACACCCTATGCTATTATAGATGGTCTTAGTGCTCTACCACAGGAAAAAGAAATACTTTTCTCAATGCATACGGTGTTCAATGTTGTCGATGTTAAACAAGCAACAGCAAATAATCAAATATGGGAAGTGCAGTTGACTCTCACTAACGATACTGATCCACAGCTGGCCAGTCTTACACGTCAAATGCGTGAAGAAACACAAGGATCTACTGCATGGCGTCGGATGGCTATGTTAATGTACAAATTAGGTGACTTTAGTCAGGCCGAGGAGCTTTATACAGAATTACTGGAGACTTGTTGCTGTAATATTGAAACAGCACTTATCTATCACAATCTTGGATCCATGAAAGATGCACAAGGTAACTATGCAGAAGCCATAAAATATTATGAGAAATCTCTTGGCATTAAGCAAAAAACTATGCCACAAGGTCATACTTCATTCGCTAATACTTATCAGCAACTTGGTAATGCTTATCAGAATATGGGAGATTACTCGAAAGCACTTCAGTATTATGAAGAATCATTGAAGATTTTAGAGAAAACTCTGCCTCCGAATTACTCTTCGTTGGCTACTGTGTACCAAAGCATTGGTCTTGTGTATAATAATATGGACGATCCTGTGAAAACACTTGAATACTATGAAAAATCGTTCAAAATACGAGAAAAAATTCTGCCTGAAAATCATCCGGATTTAGCTGCCTCTTATAACAACATCGCTTTTCTGTGTAACAATATGGGTGACTACTCGAACGCACTTGAATATTACGAAAAATCACTGAAAATAAGAGAAAAATCTCAGCCGCCAAACCATCCAGATTTCGCTACTTCCTATAATAACATTAGTTTATTGTACAATAACCTAGGTGATTACGCAAAAGCGCTTGAATATAATGAAAAATCACTGAAAATTTTGGAAAATACCCTTCCTCCGAGCCATCCTCATTTGGCATTTTCCTATAACAATATCGCCGGGGCGTACAACAAATTTGCTGATTATTCGAAAGCACTTGAATATTACAAAAAATCATTAGAAATTTGTGAGAAAACTGTGCCTTCGAATCATCCATGTTTTGCTACTTTCTACAACAATATAGGTGCGGTGTATAAGAACGTGGGTAGTTATTCTGAAGCGCTCGAATATTATGAAAAAGCGAACGAAATTTGTCAACAAACACTTCCACCGAATCATATATATATAGGTACTAATTACAACAACATTGCTTCAGTATATGACTTGATAGGTGATTACCCGAATGCACTTAATTATTATGAAAAATCCTTGAAAATCTTAGAAGAATCCTTGCCTATGAATCATCCCTCATTAGCTGCTTGCTACAACAACATTGGTTTAGTTTATTACAACATGGGTGAAGGTTTGAAAGCACTGGAATATTATGAAAAATCACTCGAAATGAGAGAAGAAACCTTACCTGAGAATCATCCAGATTTTGTCTTTTCCTACAACAACATCGCTACGTTATATAGAGAAATGGAGGAGTTCTCAAAAGCACTTGACTATTACAATAAAGCACTGAAAATCTTGGAAAAAACTTTTCCTTCAAATCATCCCCATATTTCTACTCTTTATAACAATATCGGCTTAGTGTACAAAGAGATGGATGACTACTCTAAAGCTCTCGAATATTATGGAAAAGCGAAGGAAATTAATCAACAATCACTTCCACAAGATCATCCACATATAGCTTATGATTACACTAATATTGCTGGAGTGTATAACAAGATGGGCAATTACTCGAAAGCAATTGAATACCATGAAAAATCATTGCAAATCCTCGAAGAATCTTTGCCTTCGGATCATCCCTCGTTGGCTACTGCTTATAGCAATATTGATTTAGTGTACGAAAACATGTGTGACTATCGAAAAGCGTTATCATATTACGAAAAGGCCCTTGATATCTTACAAGAGAAATTTCCATCTACACATTCACACATCCAAGCGGTGAACTATTGCATCGAGCTTGTCAAAAATAAACTATAACTATTTTTTGATACCGTTTTCTCTCTTTCTTTGAGTGTGAGTCTAGCAAACTACGATCCGGATTTCGGCCTTGCTAAAGGGCCTTTTAGGTAGTTTCGATGTTTATTATTTGTTTACATCCCGAGGCTGTATGCGTAAGAAAGTGAATCTAGCTACAGTTATCGCGATTTCATCCCGACTAAAGGAATCATTAGATGATTTTGACTAATTCGAATATGTGGATTCTATTCGAATAGTTATGTGATCATAAACAAGAAATTCACAGGTATATTCAATTAGTATGGAGAGTACTTGTAGAAATCTCAGTTATAAGCAAATTCAAAGCTTTGTACGACGCGTTTCGACTAGTGCTTAAGAGAGGGTCAACGATAGGACCGACCAACTTTGTATAGAGCTGGCCGCCGACAAAATTTTGATTTTCGATTTAACTATCTAAAACGATAGGCTATGATTAGGAGTTCCTAAATCCAAAATATCAGATCTTTCTGATATTCCTATGAAATACAGAAGAGCACACAAGTGTCACAGGGGTGGGTACCTTGTGCCAAAAAATGGTTTTTTTGGGTGCTTGTAGTATTTTTCATTTTTCTCTGCAATGGTTCGTTGGTTTGAGACCGGGGACATCTCAAAAGATGTAGAAATGTTTTTTCTACAAAACTATCTT